TATTTAATCATGGATAAAACATATAGTCCCTTAGTAGATTTCCGATCCTTATGGAAGGGCTGAAGCCAATTTTACTGTTAGTTCTGTCCGGTGTACTGTAGAGTCGTGTTTTGTTTATTGTTTCTTGCTATTTCAGTAATTTAAAACCTCGTTTAACCAAATAAAACTATCTAATCATAAACAATAACTTGTCCACTAGCTATAAAAGCAAACTGCGAGACACAAATCATGTGAAACTAACCCTAAAATAATATGAACAAATTGAAAAAAAAACACAAAAAACACGATATCTACAGTACTGTAAACCGGACAGAACTCACAATAAAATTGGCTTCAGCTGTTCCATAAGTATTGGAAATCTAATAAGGAGTATGTTTTATCTATTATTTAATCTAAAACAGTCTACATTAAATACTGTGCTTCAATTAAACAATGATTTTAGATATTTTCTTAAGAAGGTTTTAAAATACAAACAAATATTTGATTTATATAAAACCATTTAATTCTTCGTGATGGTCCAATTCAGTGAAATTTTACTTTTGTTAACCGGAGCTCAAGACACTTGACCCTCGTTATTATATTTCAGCGCCACTCCAAGTAACAATATCTCCTCAACTCAAATATCAGACATCATTTCGTTGTTACAGTTAAAATTGTGGGCCTCTCCTTTTAATGATTTAACCTAAAGCTTACCTTAACTTTTAAATTACCATTGACTATTTATCTAAGATATACAGGGTCCCCCAAAATCCTAGGAACGACAGTTTGAACCATTGTAGATCATTCAAAGAATTAATTTAAATTAATAATGAAATTGGCCGCATCGCGTCGTGACAGGTTATTAAGGATAGAAAGAAGCTCGGTTAAATTAACTAATAATTCCTTTGATTAAATTCTTCCTCCAGGGGTATTCGCTTATTCATGTTCAGGAAGGCTATGTTTAATTAATTATTCTTTGGTATTAGGTATTTACCGACATTTCCACCAGTTACTAATAGTTCAGAAATAAATAATATTATGGAAAGCATGATTTAAATGAAAAATAGGACATTGTTGTGTCATGCAAACGGAGTTCTTTGTGAATTTCGATTATGAAACTTTTTTGAATTTCGATCGCTCGAAAGGTTCAAACACAGAGCAAACATTTTACTTGGAAAGTAAATGCTATGTTGGCAGATGCATTCCTAACATATGCAAAGGGAGGTAGTCTCTTTTCTCTCAGCGAATGTTATTCCTTTTGTAAACGAAATGCTGGAAAAGATATCCAAGATACTTAATGATACACAAATTAAAACGAATTTCATTCGAATCGTTATTTTATACACATTATCTATATCAATTGTTTTGCATGATCAAATTAATTTTGAACTCAGGGTAATTTAAAATCAAATCTTCAGAGTCATTAGATAGAAGTAAATAATTAAATTCTATTGAATAAACTGGAATCCTCACTCAGCTTATGATAAATGCAGTGCAGAAAAAAACAGAGAGAATAAAAAATATTAGTTAATTTTATATTCTTAATATGCCTGCATTACATCATCTTTAAGGGAAAATATAACTTTTCGGTGCTAAGAGCAGCTTTGTGACTTAATGGAACGTTCTTGGAATTTTCCGGAGCTTATCTCAACAAATCTTTATTTACATTTTCATATTTTACGAAGATGATTTCCAATATTTCAATCAAGGAAGCCTTTTTATATCCATTAACCAAAAGACAAAAGCTACCTCAGTAAACTAAATTTATTCACAAACATGTTTGCTGCCTTTAGCAGAGTTAAACCTCTAGAGTAATTCAAATTATTTATTGAAATTTACATCAACAAAAGCAAACAAAGACAAACAACAAACTGTTTTTTACACAAAAGATATGTTGTACTGGGATATCTATCCTGACACATAAATAATTTGATTCTGAGTTTGTTTAAATATTACAATAATTTGTTTTACATTTTGGGCTTTTTAGGGACTTATGTCCCTACAAGCCACTAGTCATATTTATGTATGTTAGGAAGTAATGTCAGTATTTCACATTACTGTATTTCACTTGTTAACTGGGTTTATTTTGATAACCTTAACCAGGGAAGTAAAGGTTTCACGATTGGCCTTTGAATTTAAAGACCTCTTTTTCAATATTGAAAATTTCTAGTTTTATTCATCACAAATATGTAGCAATGTTTTCTGTAAATTTTTATTGGTAAGCATTTAAGGATATAACAGAATATACAAACAATGTTTACAATGGGATTACCCGCAGATGATGATAATTGCACAACTTGGCAACGTTGCAGTTGTTATCAGCTGTTTATCTGTCAAGGGCACAGCTGATCGTAGGCTGAAGTTGATGGATGCACTCATAGAATGACTCAGGTTTGAATGCTCATCAACTTTCAATGAACGTGATTTATGGTTTTAATTGAACTTAGCTGTTTGTTGAAGTGCATATCAAAATAATTAATTTCTGTTATAACTCCAATAAAACTTATGAAGGTATTCTGTTATATTATACATAATTCAATATTCTTAAGCTCTTTACAGGTCATTTAAGGCTCTCAAACAGCCTTATGGTGTCAATATGTATTAATTAAAACTAATAATTTGGCTTTTAAATCAATTTTCCGGTTTATATTTACTTGTTGATTTAATGTTTCTAAACAAGTACTGACAGTAAGAAATTTGTAATTATATCTGAGAAATTCAGAAATAAGAACTATAATATAAAAAAGCTGCTTTAGAAAATAATGTTCAAAATATACATATGAAAGGTTACTATCCCCAGAGTATAATTAATATCCCAAAATATATGTTAAATCTTCATGAAAAGAACTCACCTATGCTTCTGGTGCTACATGAATAGCAATGTGCATTGTGTATATTCCAGACTTAAACAAAGAACAGTAAATATATATAGTTGCAATTAGTAGCACTTCGTGAACAAAAGGATTGAATGGTTCGTCTAACACATGATTAGCTAATGAGCTGCAACTGTTCAGAATTAGCTATGATTCCATAGACTGTGTATAACTGTATACAATACATATTTGTGTATCAACTTACTTCGAATTTACCCTACTTCTGCAGAAGTTGTGTATAAAACTATCAAATTCAAAAGTGGTTTACCGACGAATAGTTCATCAAAAGAACACATCTCTGCTTAAAACAGTGCATGCCTGAAACCGAGTTTTGGATTTCCCACAAATAAATCTATAACCACGGATATTCTTGCAGAATTGATAGTAGCAATAATTATTGTAATATTGATAAACTAAATTACATGATAACCTGTATATCATTATATTAATTAGCTCATTCCCATTTTCCAATAATTGGTTTTCAATTACACATGTTTAATGAACACAAAGTATCAATATGAGAATAATTAATTTGTTTTATAACGTAAAATTAATAATAACAATAAAATAGCTATTGCACATTTATAGATGTAGATTTAATTAATAATCATACACACATACTGTTTCTTTTATTATTTATTGTCAAAGGTGTATTTACTGTCACATTTTGATTGCCCAACCGGAGTGAATTTGAAATGCTCTATTTTAAAAATATTTGGAAAAATATTTTTGTTTTTGTTCTAAATGCATCAAGAAAGAATTTGAAATACTCTAAAGTCTTTCGGAGTAAAGGTTTTGGGCCAATGTCTGAATTTGTTCAAGCAAAATTAATATTCCAAGTAATTATAATATGTAATAATAATGTTTAGACTGTTACTGATCTACTGTTAATCTAAAGCATTTCAATTAACTTTTATAGGTTAATGTTAATATAAAAATTTATCCGATAGGTATGCAATGTTAAAACGAATATATTATCAAGAAAATCCTTTGCAGTCTGTTTCCATTCTGAAAATACATTATTTGTCCCTCATGGATTTGGCCATATCAATCCAACCGTTATTAACGGCCTGCACTGGGCACTGGATTTATTTGGTTTGTTTCATACAAATATTTATTCCACTTAAGTACATGATTCGTTGACACACAGTATTTAAATTTATCCCGATTTGTTCGTTCATACACTTTATACTCCCGAATGGTTTCATTATTAAGAAAAACACAAAAGTAAATCCACTTACTTTTTACTATTTCTTTATAGAGTTAACAATACAGGTAAAAATCTTAAAATTCAAAATTTCACTATGGGATGGTAAAATTAATTTTCTCTTAATTGTTTACAAAAAATCGCGTTTTTTACTTGGACTATTTATTATGTTGCTACAAATAAGTAAAGTTGTTAGGTAGTGTCACTTTCTTTACATATTGAGTTTGTTCATGATATTCTGTGAAAGGACAATTATTTCAGAATTGGACGCTAAACCAACCAGCAAACGATCACTCGACTATTCTTGTGTATGAAATACACTATTATTGTGTATTGTATTTCATATACAGTACATAATGAATTTGTAACTGAATCCAATCCGTTTATACTACATGTTCATGTTATGGTTAAAAAAAAATTGAAATATGGTATGTAAGCTACTTCAGTTTAGTATGTGGCTTTCTTTTACTTCAAAAGTTTACTTCATTGGTTTATTGGAGAAATATGTAAAAAATAAACTAATTATGAAAAACTAAACCTTACAAGTGAAAGTCTTAAATGATCTTGATAAGCTATAAAGTAAGTTTTGATTGTATTTTTTAAAATGTTCATTATGCTAACACTATTTAACAGCTAAAAGATTAACTTAGAGCTTAACCTTTTGTAACATTTTGAGCATTTCCACAACAGCACAAAGGTTCTAAATGATTCCCAGCAAAACATTTCCTATTGTATGTTTCATCAAAAAGCAATTTTCACCGACCCTCTCGCAGCAAATAGAGACCTAATCATTGTAACGATGAAGAAAAATGGGGCTTCTTGAGAGAGATATTGATTTCCACGTTGTCTCCGAAGAGACTAACGCACTTGGAGGAAATTATTGTTTGAGAATTAGTAGTAACAATTACTTATCACTTAATCGAATTAAATTACACACTTACCTAAAAACACTGATTGGTCAACCTAAAAAACAACAGATGATTATTACATTTTATAACAACTAACCATAAAAATACAATGATTAGAGTATATATACATCATGTAAATATACATCAAACTTTAAAATTTATTTATTTAAGTATGCCACTAAAGTGTTTCCAATAAAAAAAAAACACGATTAAGTCAAGATAAGCAAGTGATAAAGATATTAAATTCACCATACCCATTTGTAACAAAGTAAAACTAAATTTAATGTTCAATAAATGCAAAAATAATCTAATAGAAAGTTTTCTTTAGAAAATAATAGGTTTTTCGTAGCCAAAAATCAGTAATTTACTATTTTGTGTTCATTTTGTAAGTGGATAAAGGACAGCACGGTAGTGCCACTAGTTCATTTAATTCTTCTTAAACGTTCAGATAGTGCTTACAAATTACTGTAAATTTTTTTTTAGGACAAACATACTTCTACATATTTATAGGTGATCACTAGTTTATATGTTAAGGATCTCTTACACTATCCATATTACTGTCAGTATAAGTTACTATTAACAATAATAATGAGAGAAAAAGATAATATTGATGTATTAATTACTTGTATCGAAGAATACCCCGATTTCTTGAAATCTACCATCAAAACTGTTAATATTGGCCTTTCAATATTTTTGACAGTAATAGTGATAGTGTAAGGGTCTTTTAAGTGAACAATTTCCAAATATTTAACTACTAACAGTTAAATTTCAATTTTTTAATTAAAATTAAGTTAGTGGTTACATTACAATTAATTCTAAACAATACATAGCCTAATTATTGTAAACATTCAAGGTTTGAAACTAATTCTTACTCAGATTCTTATCAAAAAACGAGTAGCCCTGAATTTTCCACGTGATTAACAATAAAAAATACCTGAGTAGTGGCAGAACTTCAAACTATGACGTAATGTGTTTCAGACACTACATAACAGCTGATAAGCTGTCGTGTGCTACAACTTGTATCCCGAGTCCTGTGTTAGGAGAAAGCGTCCTCGACTACTTCTAAGCCTATGACCTTCCATCTCTACACATGGGGTCAGCGTCTGGGCCACTGACTATGAGGAATAGTATTTGTGCTATAAGGCAACTATGATGATAATCTTACTAATATTATAAATGTGAAAGTTTGTGTGTTTGTTTGTTTGTTTGTTTGTTTGTTTGTTTGTTTGAAGTTCAATCACGCATAAACCACTAGACGGATTGGGCTGAAATTTGGCATGATGATAGCTTACATTCCCGGTTAACATATAGGCATATTCTTATCTCAAAAATCCTTTCGGGCTCCGCCCCAGTGGCTCTGTAATTCCCCATGTTAACCTTATGAGTATTCATATTTAAAGGGAATTAAAGAATTTAGTCAGCTGTTTCAACTAAAAAAGTTGGTTCTATGATATGGAAAAGCATTAAAAAGTTATAAGATTTACCAACAGGGTGCAGCACTATATTTTTTTTGCTAAGCAGCAACAAAAAACTGTGATTCGCAATGAGAACTGTCAAAGTAGGATTGTTTACAGTTATGTATATGTTTTTCATTTCATGAATAATTTGTGATATTTTGCGAATTGATAATTTATTTTTCTCTATTGTTTAGGTAAAATGGTAGAACATTATGGCTATGGTAGATGTGTAATACGATAGAATACTGTAAATTTAAAAAAGCAAATTTTATCAAACTGTGTCCTCCACCCATTGCAATCGCAAAGCTTGAGTATAACTGCAATAAGCATTTTATACTTATATTCCAACCCCGTACGAAGGACGGGTACTCTGCTAGTTATATCGATAATTTTCAGCTCGCAATACCTCGGTTGGAGCGGTAACGTCTTCTACAGATAAGCAAGTTACATTGTTGGTTTGGTTTAAGACCTTACCGCAAGCAATATCTATTTCATTACTGCAATCAACCCTGGCTAGCCTATACAATCTAAAACTGTCTACCGTAACAAAACTTTACATTAGGTCTATGCAGGTTGGCAGTTGAGATTTTATTTTAAGAAAATTACTACTCAGTGCGTGTTCATGGCGGTCTCGGTTTCGTTAGAATTATTTATTGAATTTGTTTCAGAAATGTTCGAAGGAAGCTTTTATTGTTTAGCTTATTTATTTGAAATGAAATGAAATGAAATGAAATGAAATGAAATGAAATGAAATGAAAATGATTTATTTAGTCAGGCAAAGTTAGGGCCACATGGCCCTCTCTTACACTTAACCTGTTTATACAAATCTAAACATACAAATAAAACAAAACAATGTACAATACAAATAAAATACTATAATCTATTTACAATATTTAATGTAAAAAGAAACAATAAACTTTTAAAACATACCACCTTACATAAACACCCACACACACACACACCTACACACGTACACGCACACACACAACACACACTCGCAAGAACTATCACACACACACGCACACCTGTCAGTGATCAACCAAGCGCATGCCTAGGATATACCAACCATGGCCATACGTCCAGAAAACAGATTTTTTAGTGCTGTCACAAACCGGGGACGGCTATCAAGGGTTTTTATGGCTAGAGGGAGATCATTCCAAAGGCGACAAGCAGAAACAACAAACGCTCTGTCATAAACTGCCGTTCTATGATGAGGCATACGCAAAGTTACTGAAGCAGAACGTGAATTTCTTACACTTTCTTCAGCTACAAATTTGAAGTCGTTTAAAAATATTCTGGAAATTTTGTTTTTAATATTGAATAGGTTATCATAAGAATTTTTATTGATCTTAGGTCACATAGTTTTAGTAATTTAGAATCAACATAAAAAGGAGTGATGCGCTCATTACGTCTCAGATCATAAACAAATCTTATACAGTAGTTCTGAGTGCGTTGGAGAGCATCAGCGAGATTTACAGTCATGTCATTGATCACAGAGTTACAGTAAGTGAAGTGAGGGAAGACAAGTGATTTTACTAGGTGTAACTTTATGTGTAAAGGTAAAAAATTCTGTAACTTCTTCAGTGAGTGGATTGATGCAAACACCTTTTTACGTATGTCTAATACTGCATCTCCCCAAGTAAGCGTCGAGTTTACAGTACGTCCTAGATTTTTCACTTTGTCATAGTAAAGTAAAGCTGTCCCATTTATAGTTACTGAGTTCACTGTGTCAAGGTCAATTGAGTTTCGTAAACGTGAATGACAAATTATTATTGGTCTTGTTTTTGTATGGTTTAGTCTAAGTCCATGTTTTTCAGTCCAGGTAATGATTTTCTCGATGTCTTCGTTGATTTTTAGAACACTGTCATTGATATATTTTGCTGAGAAATGCGTATAAATCTGTAAGTCGTCGGCATACATATGGTATTTACAGTGTGTGAGGACTGAGCTCAGGTCATTTATGTATAGTACAAACAGTAGAGGGCCAAGGATTGACCCCTGAGGCACACCACAAGTAACTGTCTCCCAGTCAGATCGTACGTCATCAACCTCAACACATTGCCGCCTGCCTGACAGATAAGATCCCAGCCAGTCCAATACACCATTTGAAAACCCTATGGCCCTTAACTTTTCCAGAAGAAGATTATGATTTACGCAGTCGAAAGCTTTCGAAAAATCAAATAGTGTTAGAATTGTACCCTGCCGACGTTCCATTGCTTGTCTAATGTCGTCCGTCACACGTAATAGTGCTGTTTCTGTGCTGTGTGCCGTTCGAAAACCAGACTGAAAGCTGCAAAGTATGTTGTTGTCAGTCAGAAATTCCGTCATTTGGCAGTGCACAATTCTTTCAAGGCCTTTTGATAATGCGGGCAATATACTGATCGGCCTGAAATCCTGGCAAGATGCCGGGGCTGGGATCTTATTTGATGGACGAATAAGGGCAGACTTCCAAGAAATAGGGAAAACACTTTGCCTTAGTGATGTGTTGAAAATGCATGTGACAGTTGGGAGTATAGCAAAGAGAATGTCTTTTATAAAACGAATTGGAATGCCATCTGATCCGACTGCATTGCTACGAATCCGACGAATTGCGTTAAGAACATCTGACTGCACTACAGGTCTGAAAGTAAACTTAGGATGTCCTAGGTCCTGATCAGGGAGGTTTCTGATTTCGTTTATGTAATTTACAACATGTTGTTGGTCGATATTTTGACCATATGAAGAGAAGAAAGCGTTTAATTCATTGAGAGGGACATTCACTCTCTGTGGTTCAGACTGCTTCCCAAGCCCAAGACTTTTTACATTGCGCCATAAAACCCTAGAGGATTGATTTTTATTTTCAAAAAGCATACGGATGTGTCTTAATTTTGAATTTCTCAAAAGCTGTTTCACTCTATTTCGAAGATAACGATATTGTTCCATTTCTGTTTGGTTTTGAGAACGTTTAGCTTTCCTAAAAATACAATCACGTCTAGCCATTAATCTGCGGATTTCTGGGGTTATCCATGGTGCCGGACGTGTTTTAGTCAAACGTTTAGTTACTGTTGGAGCATGTTTGTCAAAAAGATTAATAATTTTAGTGTTTAACTCATTCACCATTTCATCAACTGATGGTAAGTTTTCTATTAAGTGCCATTGTGTTTCATAAATGTCTGCCATAAAGTCAACTACATTCATGTTCTTAAAATCTCTGTATTTTAGAAATTTAGTCTTGGGTTTAGGAGCCTTAACTGAAAACACACAAAATATGAGATCGTGCTTGGATACTGCTGGAACTGGAAGTTGCCCATGATGTATAATGTCTGCAGCATCCGACACCACTATCAAGTCGAGGAGAGTGTCAGACTCGGCAGCATGATGTGTAGGGTCGAGTGGAAGTATATCTAAGTTGCAAGAGTTAAACAGTGTAGTCAGTTGTCTGTATTCATAGTTTTGATTTGTCGAGAGTAGGTCAGTATTGAAACCCCCCATGATCAAGGCATGACTGTATCTAAACAAAGAGTTTAATAGTGCATTTTCAAAATCCAAAAAATGTCCTGCTCTAGGTGGGCGGTAACACACGTACACAACAACAGGTCGTCAGCCCCAGCTAGACCAA